TGTTCTTTGCAGCAAAATTGTTAATATGTAGAGTGCTCTGTGTATTGAAAGCTTACAAGCTTTCACGGTTTGTCATAGTTCTTTTATTTATTTATAGGTTATCACAAGTCAAATTTTACAGCAGTACTGCAAAACAAAGAATGGGCTTATGGCAGCCCTAATAGGATTTTCAAGATACATAAGATTTTTAAAGAGTTGTGTTATCACTGCCACTGCCCAGTGAATTTCCATGGCCAAATGGGAATTTGAACTGTTGTCCCCCGAGTCCTAGTTTGTTAGTTAGTAAAGAGACAGAATCCAAAATATGCTAGGTTAATGTGTAATTTAGCAATCTATGCTATAGCTTAATTTTTTATCAGCAAGCCATATCTGTAAATATACAAATAGTGGCAAGGAGTAAGATATAAACGATTTTACAGTGATAGCCAGAATAAAGAAGACGAAATATATTTCAATCAGTTTGCTTCTGACCATTAGTGTTAGTTCCCCAGTGTTAGTATAGAAAACATTCTAGGAGTCTGCTTGCCTGTGTTTCTAAAAAAAATCTTGTGCTAGTTTGTGTCCATGCATTTGAAGCACTTTCAGTCTTATACAGTGGGGTCTTGACTTGAGAACTTAATCCGTATTGGAAGGTGGTTCTCAAGTCAAATCTGCATTTCCCATAGGAATGCATTGAAAACCATTTGATCCGTATCTGCTCTTTTCCGTCCATAGAAACTAATGGGAAGCTGCTATTCTGCCTTCGACCACTAGAGGGGGGATATTTTGTTTCTTTTTTTCTTAGGTCAAGAAAGGTTCAGGGAAGGCAGGGAAAATACAGTCCAGGCAGTACCAGGCAGTCTGAAGACTCCCAATCCACTCTCTAAACGCTGGGAGGAGTGAGGAAGCAGACAGGCACCCTTTTCACTGGCCAAAAGTTAACTGAAAGTTCAAATTTTGCACTTTCCCTGCCTCCCACGTGGGTTTTTTTAGTTCTTAACTCAAATCTAAGTATGTAAGTCAAGTCAATATTTTCCTGTGAGAGTAGTTCTTAAGTCAAAATGTTCTTAACTCAAGCTGTTCTTAAGTCAAGACCCCACTGTACAAGGATAGTTTGCAAAACTATGGTTCTGGTTTTGGAGATTGTGACACATTTCTTGGCCTCAGTTGCTTGTGATAGGTTTGACTGTGTAACTCACTGGTTCTTAACCTTGGGTTACTCAGAAGTTTTGGACTGCAACTCCCAGAAGCCTTCACCACCAACTGTCCTGACTGGGGTTTCTGGGAGTTGCAGTTCAAAAGCATCCGAGTAACAAAGGTTAAGAACCACTGGACTGAAACATTTCTGAAAGGAGTTTTTAATTGCTGCATTGATTGCTCAACTCTATTGACCTGTCTTCTTTCTTCATTTATATAAGAAGAACCACAATACAATCAATAAGCATATCAGATAAATTTCACTCAGTAACAGATGACATTAAGAGCATTTGGGATAGTTAGCATCAAATCTTCCGTAGTACATGTTGAGGGTAACAAAAATAACATGTTTTATTTATATGTTGCATTTCTCCCAACAAGGGATGCAAAGCAGCGCACAGCATTAAAATTCACACAATTAAAAAAACAAAAAGTTAAATATTAAAAGACAAATTATGTGAAGTTGCCTGATCTTCTAAGCACTCACAAAGGACTGTGTTGGTGAGAAAAACTCATTTTCTTAGGCTTACCGTGGTTCTGCTAACACCTCTCCATAACCCATGAAGTGATTTCCAAGTAATTCAGTTCCCTGTGTGACTTTTCCGGGCTTCCATCTATTTTAAGAGGTGGTTAATTCTTCCTTTCCACCTTGTTATGGATTCTCTGCTGTTTTTTTCAGGATGTTCTGAAAAACTTTTCCTTGATTTTAATTTGGAAGGGGCAGGGTAGTAGCTGGAGAGTGGATTTGCATTTGATTTATATGCTTTCTTTAATTCCCGCTGTTAGTTTTTACCTCTCAACAGTGTTTTTTGGCTTTGAAGCTGTGTTGAATTGTTAATCTCTTATCTTCTGTTCGCTTGGGAGAAGTTACACAAGATAATAAAACCCTTTGTGTATACTGAGTAAATTGAATGAGAACATCACCTGTTGCTAAGTTTAATTGCTCTTTGAAATTCAACCTGCAATTTTAAGTGTGAGTGCGTGCATGTATGTGTGTATGTTGGGAACCCATTCTGATTGTGAAGATTTTTACTTCTGAGTCAACAGTCTGTACTGGGCTAACATATTCGATAAGGTGTTTTAGTATATATGGCTCCTCAAGATTCTGTTTGACAGAGAACTCATTCTAACAAGTTATTGTCATATACAATAGGACCCCCATATCCATGGGATGAGTATCCATTGTTTCACTTATCCACAGTCTAAATATTAAAAGAAAAAGATCCAGGAAAAAAAAAACAATTTTCACATGTATTACCATAACAGGCCTCTAGATGGAGCCATCTGGACTGTGGATAGTATTTAAACGCACCAGTCTTGCATTATTGAGCCCTTTGTACTCACACACATGCTTGTAGAAGATGTAAGGTTTTGTTTGTTTATTTGTTTTAAATTATAGCAATCAGTAAGTAAGGACTCAATATTCTGGGTTAGTTGGAAGTTGGTAACTAGACCAGAAACTTGCCCAAAAGGTTTAAGAAGCTAGACATGGTATTGTATTTCATAAATTGGATCTGCAGTGGTAAATGCAGTACCATCCACATCCACAGATACAATTAATACACATTTATTTCAGTTAATATTTACACCTTCTAATGTGGTTCTGCTTTTATTAATAAAGTCTGTAGGTCCATAGTATTGGGAGATAGAATTAGGGAAATGGGACATCCCCGCTTTGTCATTTTGCTCAGATAAATGTTAACTGAATCCATCCCTTTCTTACAATTATATTATGGTCAGTATAGACAGTCAAGTCAAACCTAAATTTTGCGGCCAGAGAAGTCTGTAACTCAAAAAGTCTCTAAGTCAAGCCGTCTGTAAGTCAAGGATCCACTGTATGTTAATTGACATTATTGTCATTTGTGGTCCTAAAATGGACTGTTGGGTTATTTTGCTCATCAGCAAGTTTGTAGTGCAATTCTTTTGAAAGGATTGGCTGGCTGTGTGCCATTACCCAGGGAATGCCTGATTGTCCTCTCAATACTTTGAGCGGTTTCCACTGTTCAGGGAGGCTCCTTCTATGTCCCCCTCTTCTAATTCCAGAACAGGCAGGCTTTAGACCTGGCAAGAGCTAAAATCTCAAATCTTGCCTCTAACCCAGCATATAGAGGATGGTTTTAAAACACATAATATAACTGCAGCATTTGTTGAGCTTACAGCAGCATATGATACTGTCCACCATAACTTGCTGCTCAAAAAGTTCTACCTACTTACTAAAGATTGTGATCCAACAGAGTGGTTGGTGTGCTACTTCAAAACTAAAGATTCTTTTTAATTTTAAGGGAAGCACAGTTGTTGGAGAAATCAAAGGAATGGTCTGCTGCGTAGCATCCTGGCACCATTACTTTTTAACATTTACACAAGTGATCAACTTTCCCATACTCCAGAAATTCTATTTAAGATGATTATCTTACTTTGACAGTTCAGGGAGAAGCCTATGAGTACCTAGAGCACCAGCTAGGCTCTGTATTAGATCTTTCTTTATAAAAATAAGTTGAAACCAAACCCTTTAAAAGGACAGGCCTCTGCCTTCTACTTGAACAATAGGGAAGCAGAGAGTAAGCTGTATGTTACTTGGGAAGGCAAGATTTTTGAATGCTGCTCTGCCCCAAAGTATTTGGGTGACACTCTGGATTGAACTATGACCTACAAAAACATTATCTAAACACAGAAAGTTGCTTTCAGAAATAACATACTGTACTTAGGAAACTGGCTAGGTTAGACTGGGGTGCACACCCACAAACAATAAGAACAACAGCTTTGTCCCTGTGCTACTCCACGGCAGAATATGTTAGTGATGTACGGTATAAATCAGCATGTGCGAAACAAGTGCCTGTAGCTCCTCTGATCAAAGATAGTCTAATTCTTTTGACATTTTAATTTCTTTTTAATTTTTACCTATTTTTCATATATGTATGTAATTTTAAATTGTGCATTGCTCTGATAGAGAGAATACAGTGGTGTCTCGCATAGCGATCGCTCCGTATAGCGATGAAATGGCTTTGCGATGGACTTTTTGCCATCGCAAAAGCGATCGCTTTGCGACGGTCCCTATGGGGAAATTTTGCTTTGCGATGATTGCAGGGAAGCAATCATCGCAAACCTTCATTTTCGGCCAGCTGATCGGCGGTTTCAAAATGGCCGCCCGCTGTATTTCCTCGCTGAAGAGGCACCGAAAATGGCCGCCCCTATGGAGGATCTTCGCTTAAAGGTGAGTTTTTAGCCCGTAGGAACGCATTAATCGCGTTTTAATGCGTTTCTATGGGCTTTTTTCGCTTAGCGATGTTATCGCCTAGCAGTGATTTTTTTCTGCATGGATTAACATCGCTAAGTGAGGCACCACTGGAATTCCATTCAATTTTATCAATGGATGGAATATCATAAGGCTTTAATTTCTTATGTGGGCCTTGATGTATCACACAGAACAGTATGCTAATTGAGTTGATTATATACTGACCCTTCAAAAGCCAGATTGGTCATTTCCAATAAACTCATCTGTTAGAGAAAATCAGTTGGCAGAGGTTCTGGTAACAATCTTGGCATCTACATTTAATAGGGCATTGGGCCTATAGGAATCTAGATAGTCAGGATCCTTGTTGTTTTTTTGTGAATGAGACTTATTATGGCCATATGCCAAGATCCAGAAGATGGTTTCCCTTTAAGAATACTGACACAAGAGTAAAGGTGCCAGCATACATTAAAAAGCCTTATAAAAGCAACCTGGAAAGTTATCAAATCTCAGAGTTCTAAAGAGTCTCCAGGTAAACTCATAGGAAATGTTCTTGGATATTCGGAACTTTTAAGCAGTGTCCTTCTCTTTTCAGAAATCCATGCCACGGGATTCAACTACCAAAATGAAGATGAAAAAGTGACTCTGTCTTTTCCGAGCACACTTCAGAAAGGTAAAAGTTCATCTTCATCTGTTGGTTCATTCACGGGCTGTATCCTTTGAGATCTAAAAGATGTGTGGAGTTTATTCACAGGTCAGAGATATTCCTTGTCCCATTACATTATTTACTCTTTTTGGAATATGATTTGAAAGCTTGCCCTATTCCTGCATTTCACAGTCTGTCAGAAATTGAAATGAAAAATTTGATTCACAAGGGTACTCATGTTAAGAATAAAATAAAATTTAAACTCCATCTTAGGGCAATATCTTAGGCCAACTAAAAAGTGCAAAATTTTACGCAAGCTTTTGAGATGAATGTGTCTCTTTATTAGTTAAGCATTGCAAAAGCACAGAACATAGATATCTTGCTCTTTGAGTTGAGGTGGAGAGGAAAAGCTGGCAGATATTTGGATATTGCTATATCAGGAGATTGTACTGGTAATAGTGACTGTATTTGCTTAGAGCAAAGATAGAAATAAAGTTTTGGTCCTCCATTATTGTGACCATGCAATTCAGCAGTAGATGCAGCGTTCTTTCTCTTAGGTGAAACTATACACCAAGAAAATTGAGAATTCACACATTATGAACTTGCACCAGAAAATTAGGGTTTTTCTAAGTAGACTTGAGTTAATCAGCCACACAGGGAGAGGAGAAGAAATTGACTAAACAGCCTTGTTTGCAGCTTTTAATGTATTTATTCTGTAGTCCTCCTGATTTACAAGAGGCAGCAATTTCCTCTTTCTTTCTTTCTTTCTTTCTTTCTTTCTTTCTTTCTTTCTTTCTTTCTTTCTTTCTTTCTTTCTTTCTTTCTTTCTTTCTTTCTTTCTTTCTTTCTTTCTTTCTTTCTTTCTTTCAATGTACCTCTCCTATACAGGGAAATGGCCTTAATAACCTGTAAACAAGAGTTGTGTGGCAATTTCCTTCTCTTCTTTCTTTCATTTGGGTGGCACATGTCTTGAGTACTTGAGTATATTTGTACTCTATAGCAGTGATTCCCAACCTTTTTGGGACCGCAAACCAGTTGAGGGGGGGGGCTCTGTACGTGGGAGGGTGGGGGCTCCCCCGCAGTCACGTAGGGGGCGTGTCATGCTCACCCAAGTGTGATATGCCCACTGGGCTGGTGGGTGGGGGCGAAGATCCGTCCGTGGCCCAGTTCTGAGAAGCTCATGGATTGGCACCAGGTCGCGGAACCAGGGGTTGTGGACCCCTGCTCTATAGCATTGGTTCTCAACCTTGGGTCCCCAGATGTTCATGGACTACAATTCCCAGAAGACCTTGCAGGCCCTGCTAGTGATGAATGCTTGCAATCCAAGAATGTCTGGGGACCCAAGGCTGCTCTAGAGCATGGCTGAATGTGCTTCTGAAAACTTGCTTTGTGTTCTTCTATCAGGTGCCACTTCTCTCAGGATCATATGAATCATGAAGTTAGTACCATTGGTGTGCACCCTCTTTGAACTCCCAATGAGAACGTTCGAAAAGAGAGAGAGCATGTTTGCGATAACATCCATTTAATTTCAATAACAGAATCCTTTAGGAGGCATTCTAAACAACTTTCGTATTTGCAAATGTTTTTGTACTGCAACTCATATCTCTCCTAACCAGCATAGCAAGTGGTGATCGCAATGCAATAACATTTGGAGGACCACATACAGTATTCTATTTTACAAGGGGCAGACCTTCAACCACCAAAGCACATTTTCTTTTATTTTGAATTCTTTTTTAAAATATTGGATTTGCTTTCTGTTGCGATAGATGTTGCCCAATATCTTCAGTGCACAATTATGAACATACTTCTAGCTTAGGAGTAACCATTTCACTTTGCACCACTATGAAGAGATGGTTGCTTAGATGTATTGTAGAACCTAGCAACTACTCTCTGACAAAAAGGTTAGTGTCTTTCAGGCTTTGTCTGGTCTGCTGAATTGTGTGATCAAACTCTATTCTGACTAGAATCGGGAAGCTGAATGCTACTTTTGTTGAAGGGGAAAGAGTTTTTAAGGTGAATCTTTAAAATTAAGTACAAAACGTTGGGACAATAACAATTAGATAAAGTAAGTTTGAATTTACAGGGAGAGATATGAAGTGCAGCAGAGAAGGGGGGAGTGAAGATTTTAATACCTCTGGAATTAATAGCCTTCCCTGGATCCTAATATCTCCATCATATCAAACTCCTAGAAAAATATAGGCCTTCATATTTTTCCTTATGAATGTAACTGGTTTCACCTCTTTACCACTGGTAATTCTGTAGCATTCTGTAACTATCAAGGTTGCAAAGTTACAAAACAGTTGTAGGATTTCAAAATATATGCAGACAAAAAGATCCCCTCCCGCACATGAGTGGTTCCATATTCTGTTTTCGAATAAAAAGAAGCCACAAGACATTGTGAATACAGAGAATTGTTGCTGCTTCTTCGTAGTCTCTGTGAATACACACTATAGGGTTTCATCTGTGCTTGCCCAGAGGTTTCCGGAATACTCTAGAGCAGTGGTGTCGAACTGTGGCCCTCCAGATGTTCTTGGACTTCAACTCCCAGAAGCCTTCACCACCACCTCTGCTGGCCAGGATTTCTGAGAGTTGAAGGCCAAGAACATCTGGAGGGCCACAGTTCGACACCACTGATCTAGTGTTCGCCAACTGCTTTTGTTTCTTTCTAAAAGTAAAATAATGGGGAAAACAGTAAGAGACTTTTCAAGTTGCTTCTCGCTTTTCTAACCGTCTCCCCTTTCCCTTCCCTTCCCACCTTTTATGGCGCCCGTAGCCCCTTTAAATGGTGCGCTTCTTGCCCAAACAAAATTCCCCTTTCTGACAGACACGACCACTGTCTTTTCTGCCTCGGGGAATCCCATCAACCACCTTCGTGTCAAATCTGTAAAAATTTTACAAAACAAGCACTCAAACTCCGACAGCAACACCTGAGATCATTTCTCTGGGAGCCATCTCTCCTCCCAGCACAGACCACTATGAACACTGCTTAGACTCCCCAGTCCCAGGAGATATCCCCTGGTATGCCCTCTACTTCTCTGACACTGAAGCCGACATCATCTACAGTAAGGTGAGGTGAACCACTATGAACACTGCTTAGACTCCCCAGTCCCAGGAGATATCCCCTGGTATGCCCTCTACTTCTCTGACACTGAAGCCGACATCATCTACAGTAAGGTGAAATCTAAGCTATTTCCAAATCCAAGTCTTTGGGACTGTCGACTGAGTCCACACCCATACCCCACACCCATACCGAAACCTCCTTCGATACTGGACCATTCCAAACCTAAGAAGTCAAAGAAATCTTCTTCAGACTCTCAAGCCACTAAGAAATCTCCCCGAGTAACAGTGGGAAAATCACTGTGGACAATTCCTTTGCAAGATCAACCAACCATCTGTTTCCATATTTCTGACATTGACTTCATGCCACTACCATCTGGCCAACCACCTTCTCCGCTTCTTCCCCAATCTCCATCCTGGGCTAACACCTTGGCTGAGGTTACAGTCATCTCACATTCAGCACATTTGAGTCCCAAATCCATGGGTTGCTCTGTCTCTGTGTGTGGTTCAGTCACCATCTGCTCTGGCTGACCCATCTCTTCTGTGTGTGGTTCAGAGTCACCATCTGCTCTGGCTGACCCATCTCATCCACGTAGGTGTTCTAGGAGAACACACAATACACCAGAGACTTGTCAATCCAATGCTGACCTTGCACACCCTCCAACATCTATGGGGTTGCTGGCATCGCACGATTCCATGACTCAGTATTGCCATCCAAAATGAGTCATGCTATATGAGCCTCCAACTTATTGTAAGCCTCTACCTAAATGCTGTCGACATCGAGCATACCAATGCTAGCAGTCTGATACCGGTCACTACATTGAACCTAAGCATTCCTGGTATACCTATTATTATCCATCTAATTGTAATCTATCGTACTCATCATTCCCTCCTCGGTATCATCCATGGTCAAATGAATACAGTATTATCAAACCTCATCTGACGATGACACCGTGCTTCCACCTCTGGTACCGAAGCCGTACAAACCCTCTCATAAGAGGAGAGATGACACCGTGCTTCCACTTCTGGTACCGAAGCTGTACAAACCCTCTCATAAGAGGAGTTATTCCTTCCAGTCTGTGATGGCGCAGCAACCACTGGCATCAAAGCGATCCCAGCCATCAGCTCAGGTTCACCTACCACCTACTGAGCCCAATCTTCAGTTCAAGTAACAACTACCTATACTGCACCTCCAGCTCTCAACACTACTCAGGCTCGCCATACGAAACACCTGAAGCCCTGTCAATCTACATCTTGCTCTGTACCATCTCAACATGCTGCCAACAAACCTACTTGATACCAACCAGAGGCTCTTCCCACCAATCCTGCTTCTCCATATCACCAACATTCTCCACCATCATCTCTGCAGTTCTCTGATTCGGACACATCTGACTCCTTACAGCCTCACAGTTCACCTCAGAATCTACCAACACCAGACTCTGATGTGGCAGACGTTATTCCTCCCTCTCCATCAGAGGATTTCTCATCCTATTCTCAGCTTGTGCTAGGCATAGCCAAGGCTATGGGCCTCAATGTCCAACAACCTGCCCAACCTGAGTCTGACAAGGTGTGTGAGGACATCAACAAAACCAAACACCACTACTCCGTATGGGATTTATCCCATCCCTCTTAAAACTGATTAAACAATCCTGGTCTAAACCTTCTTCTGTACTGCAAATGTCTCAAAGAGTCGAGAATCTGTATAAAACTCATGGAGATATTACTGATTTCCTTTCAAAGCACCCACCTCCAAATTCTGTCATTGGTGCTTCCCAAAACAGAGCATGCAATTGTTCCAGTGCCACTCCTAACAACAAGGAAAGGAGAAAACTAGACATCATCAGATGCAGATTCTATTCTCTTGCATCATTTACACTGAGCTGCTAACTTATTCACAGCTATGGTATCATACCATCACTTTCTCTGGAATAAAGCTCTGCCATTGCTTCAGTCAGCACCTGATGAATGCAAGGCTCGTGGCTTCACTTTTCATCAGGAGGCCATGGCTCTTGCACGTCAGGAACACATGACTGCATGTCATGTCATCAAGGCTGCATTTAAACATATGGCTACTGCAGTTTGCTCTTCACAGACATGCATGGCTCCATCCAGCCCCATATCTCAGAAGATTCCCATATGTGCATTGAGGACTTACCCTGTGATGACATGGGTCTTTTCGATGACAAGACTGATGAAATATTAGACAGTCTGCAAAAATTAAGAAAGACAGCACAGTCTTACAACACTCAACCATATTACAGACCTCAGCATTATTAGTGTTTTATCTAGGCACAACATGCAGCGTCAGCACCCCAAAAGAAGGGCGCAGAAACTCTGGCTTTTCCATTCCTCAGATCTGCCTACCCCACTTGTCCCTACTCAGCACCCACCCATAAACATTTTTGCAACGTCCCAAAACTCAAAGTGCCCCCTCTGCTGCTCCAGAGCAGGCATAGGTCCCAACTCTCTAGGGGACGCACTTACGTTTCAGTGGACCGAACACCTGATCTAACTTTTCCTACCTATACCTCTCCTTCTCAGGACAATTGTCAGACTCTGTCATGACAATTCAAATGCGGTTCTCATCGCACCGTGATGGCCCAGACAGCCCTGGTTCACCATGCTCCGCCCATCTCAACAGACTTCATATACCTGTGCATCCCATCCCTCACCTTCTTACTCAACACCAAGGGGAGGACTTATCTCCACTGCCATCTTAGCCAACTCAACACCAAGAGAGGACTTATCTCCACTGCCATCTTAGCCATTGACTGGAAGCCTGCTACAACTTAGCTTTATTCTTATAAGTGGTCCGCCTTCCAGAAGTTTGCAACTCAACGCAACCTTCCCACCAAACCGACAACTCTCCAAGCAGTTCTCACATTCCTTTCTCATCTATTTCAACAACAGCTTTCCCTTTCCACCCTCAAGGCCTACATTTCTGTGATAGTTGCACACCAACCACAGGACTCAGAAGCAGCCCAACTATTTCACCACCCTACTATGAAACAATTCCTCAAGGGTGTCTCCAATATTCGGCCTCCTAAATCCCCCCCCCATGGTCCCTCCATACCATCCTCCCAATGTATCACACTTCCTCCATTTGAGCCACTTGCTACCATGTCTGAGCGCTTCCTTTCCTTTAAGACTCTTTTTCTGGTAGCCATTATTTCAGCCTGCAGAGCCTCAGAACTTGCAGCAAACTAATTCATAAAAAGATGAAGAAATCCAAAATGAATGAGAAGATTACTTAAGCTGCTCAATTTTTTTTTGGAAAATATTTGGTCATGATAATACCATTGCCTGCTACTGAGAAACTGGAAGCAAGTAAGAATCACAACGTAAAACAAAGCATAAACACAATAATTTTCACATATAGGCATATAAACTCGGCTTGAATAAACAAATGAGAAAGTATAAATAATATATAAAGGAAACCCTGAAATCATGAAGGCATTTGCCTTATTTTATAAACAAAGTACAGGTGATAGGAGACAAAGGTTATCACTGGGAGCTACATTCTTAAGTCATGCTCAGTATGTGTTACCCTACCATGTGCCGAATCACTGTAATGTTATACATTCTTAGCTATCCCACAAAAATACAAGATTTGTTTCTGCTGCTGTGAGATGGCAAAAAAGACACCATGGTGTTTGAGTAAGATAATGTGAAATGGGATGTTAAGGCATGGGTGAAAAGACACCATGGTGTTTGAGTAAGATACTGTAATGTGAAATGGGATGTTAAGGCATGGGTTAAGCAATATTGCACTTTTTGTAGAAAGGAAATCAGTAATGAATTGTTCATAGTGATAAATCATATTTCAAAGAGGAAAAGTCTAGTTTTCTCCAAGACTCGTCTGTTTTTCTTGCCTCTGTTGATATGGCTGTGAGAAATTTGGAAAGTTTTGCTTCAACTTCCTAATTAGTGGCTGCTTGTTGTGTCCAGACCTGGTCAAATTCTAAATAATCGTAAAATGATTTTTGGAAACAAGCTAATCTTATTTATGAAACTGGCTTGACTTCTGTAACTAAAATCATCATTATCGTCATCTTAGAACTGCAGAGCTGGAAGAGATAATTGAGTTCAACTGTATCAAAGAGACACAGTGGGGAACCAAACTCCCAACTTTGGCACTGCAGCCAGATTCCTAAACCACTGAGCTGTCCAACTGTACTTAATGATAGTAGAAAAGGGATGGTTAGTGCCTGAGCATGGGGGAAGGCTAGACTTAGCTGATTTTTAAATAATTAAATATGGTTTAACATCCAATACAACTATAGATTCAGGTAAGCTGCTTAAATGCACATGCCCCATGGAATAGATTTTTGCATCTCAGCTAAATTAACTTATTTAATGAAGGCACTCTTCATTAAAGCAGGGTCTTACTTCCAGTTTATAGTTCTAGTTCATGGTGTAAAGGGGTGGATGCTTGTTGAAGTAAAGTTGCCTTTGGAAAAATTAGTATGTTCCACATTTCAAAAGAGGTGTTGCAATGAGACATAAAATGTTTCTTCTGTCTGCAGGAGAATGACTATGGTCTACTCATTTTGGCTCTGCAATGTCCATTTGTTCAAATGAAGCAACATTTCCTGCACTAGGATTTGCTTCTCTGGTTCCATTTGGAGTCACATGAACTATTTGTTAGCTTCTGTGACAGCCAGGGAAATTATTGACATTAAATCATTTTTTTATGCTTCAGGCGTTTAATGTACAATTACTTTTCAGGTTTGGTTACTTGATAACTTTTGGACTGAAGCTTGTCATTTTTTCATGAAAACTACACTTTAAATGCCCTGTTACTGAATTTAAAAGTATGGCAGGTTTATGCAAAACTTAGTTTGCTCTATTGAGCAACACCTAAGGATAGCAGTGTCTCACCCCTTCCTCCAGTCTTTTCAGAATGCTGTTGGAATGTCGCCCACCTTGTTTACTCTGAAATGGAGGACAATCACTTCTCTAGAATGGCTTCTGAACCTTTTCTAAGAAGTCTCTATCCAGAGCTGGAAAAAAATTATCTGAACTCCTGGTTGCAAGTTTCAGGTTTTTGAAGATTTATATTGACTAGGTTCCTTAGATTCTTTCACCACATGTCTCAGAGCAATTTACATTAATCTATACATTATATCCTTGATCTGCAACATGAAGAGTGGATGAGCCAGTTCTACAGGTAAATGATGATGTAGTTGGTATGTGTTTAACAGACCTATCATCCTAAGATATTTGCACAGAAGGAGAATTCCTCAGAGAGGTGCCCAACAATTATGGCCAGAATACTATTGCTTTTTGTCATGACATGGAACGGAAATTGTTGAAGATGCACTGGCTGATTGATATGCTGCCATGCATCATGCTCTCTCTTTTCTTAACTGCAGGGATGGGAACCTTAAAAATAGATTTTGTTGGTGAATTGAATGATAAAATGAAAGGCTTCTATCGAAGTAAATACACAACACCTTCTGGAGATACTCATTTTGCTGCTGTTACCCAATTTGAGGTATGGATTCCTTTTATTTGTAGTCTACCTTTTCAGTCTATTTCATTGGAATTAACATCCTTCCTTCATGAACTTTAGATTATTGCAAGGGGATAGTGTATCTGCTGTAGCTACATTTACTGTTTTTAAAAACATCTCCCTGTTTATACAATTCTTTACAGTGCAGTAGAAATTTATTAAAAAATATGACTTGCAAAGGTCTAGTAGCAGATAGAAGTTCAAGTGTTGAAGCAGCTGTCATAAAAGATACTCGCTCTAAGCCTTTGTTGTATTCTTTCTCTGTGTATACAAAGTACATGCTTTTTGACTAGCTTAGAAAAATCACAGGGAGATGGATTTTGTGGGCCAAGTGTGAGGGGTGGGTGTTCCTCTGTCTGTTGTTTTTTGTCGTGTAGCCTTCATCATACTCATTTTGCTTCTGCTCCCATACTTGTATTCAGAACCATTGGTACTTCATTGTACCCATTTTACCCCTGCTCCCATATTTGTATGCTGAACAGTTGAAGCTCGTGGCTTTTAGAACTGACCTGGTACCAGACAAAACAACAAAGCTGGTTCAGAGTGTTAGAACCAGCCTGCTTTGCTTTCAGATATGGAAGATCCATTTTACTTCTGAAGACACTGAAATACTTGTGAAGTTGTCTGCTTTGGTTTGGTATTTGCCCAGAGTGGATGCACATCCCTTGGAAGCAAAGCCTCTGTCTAACTTTCTGTAGTAGATGTTTGTTTCTCCTCCAGCCCCTTTTCAAATAGCATGGGTCTCATTTGCTGTGTATGTTTCTTGAATATCTTGTCTCTTTTTCCATTACTGTTTTTTTTTTTGGGCGGGGTGTTTCTTAGGCCTCATATACTCTTTTGTGACCTGCTGCACACTTCTCTGTGTGTCTCTGTTTTTACCAATGTCACCAAAAGACTGTACTGTATTTTACTGGAGAGCTAAAGTTCTTTGGATTTGTTATACTTTTCTTGGTGGCATTTTCAAAGAGCCACAGCTGCTGTGGTTAATTAAAGTTCTTGCTCCCTCCAGGCCACAGATGCTCGCAGGGCCTTTCCTTGCTGGGACGAGCCGGCCATCAAGGCAACTTTTGATATCTCACTGGTGGTTCCTAAAGACAGGGTAGCTTTGTCCAATATGGTAAGTCTTTGAAACTGGTAAGAAGTGAAATGAATATTAAACTGTAGCTCTCTCCATATAAACAAAATGGGTTCGTGAATTGAGAGGAAAGTGGGATGTCATAAAATAATGAGTAAAAAGTTGTAAATGAAATTTTAAAAATAAATAAAATACTCTGAATGAACAAAAACATGTGAACAGGAACACAGAAAATAGTTTTGAATGTGCACCTTCTGTACTATTCACATACTTGTTAAGATTCATATAATTATACTAATTATTCACATTTTTTGACAAATCAAAGAAATGTTTTGTTAAAGTGAATATTGTGCTGATGTTCAGGGGAAGAGCAGATAGCAGTTTTGACAAATACTGGAATAGACGTCTATGAGTATTGTGAGAAATATAGCAAAAAAAGGGTTAATAGAGTAACAGAGAAAGTGCACAGTAGAAGAACTGATGCTGAGAGGAAGAAGCAAGTTTCACACATTTTTTTGATATTACAAATAACTCAGGAACTACCAACCCCTGCCTTCTTATGAAATCTGGTGTTGCTTCACATCCAACCTAACAAGCCTCTTCCAAACATCTTTCCTTGGAAAGAATATCACTGATCGGAGGCCTTACCCTGATGATGAAAACCTGGTGGAAGTCAAGTTTGCCCGTACTCCAGTGATGTCAACCTATCTTGTGGCTTTTGTGGTTGGAGAATATGACTTTGTTGAGACCAGGTCAACTGATGGTGTGTTAGTCCGTGTTTATACCCCTGTTGGCAAAGCAGAACAAGGAAAGTTTGCATTAGAGGTAAATCATACTTAGAAATTCCTGTCTTCAATTAGCCTTTACAGTTTCTTAGGGGGGGGGGTAGGAGGGAAGGAAAGAATCTTGTCTGAAATCTGTAGCATTTATATATAGCTGTCACAAGACTTTGTTTTATGTTAACCCTGCTTATTACAACCTGAAGTGCACGAGGTGTGCCCCCCCCCAAGTTGCTGAACTTCAGTTCCATTCATTGCTAGCCAACATATCGAAGTATAGACAACAAAGAATGCTGAAAGTTGTCCAGCAATATCCAGAGGGCTATATTTTTATAGAAAACATAGAATTAGATGATCTAATGGTTTGACTGGGTACAAGACAGCTTCCTATGTTTTAATGCTGGGGGAGGACTCTGTTTTTAAGTAGCATTTAATCTGCATGAATTTTAACATATGCATTAGACTCAGAAATAGGTGAGCTCTGTAATTAAGTTTATATACTGTAATTTAAAAGCTGAAGGCTTTGGAATTACTGGATTCAAATACTTAGAACACAAGCTTTTGATATAAAATCCAGAGAGGTGATGTTTGTGAACATTTAAAGTGCGCTTCAACTTATCTGTATTGTTTTATGTGATCATGTTGCATGTATAGATAAAGTTAACTCCACAGCTATGGTTTTGTGGCTGGCATGCTGAAATGTCAGACTTACGCTGGTTTGTAATGGGTTGGGGAAATTTTAAGACCTCCTACTGCTTTATGGACACAATAGTTAAAACATGGTGTATTCAAGTTAAGAATTATGTGTTTATTGTATTTTGATGAATATAATATGTTAATGATTCTTTTTTCTCTCCTATTGCATTCATAGGTTGCTGCTAAAACTCTACCTTTTTATAAGGATTATTTCAATGTTCCTTACCCTCTCCCTAAAATTGATCTCATAGCTATCGCAGACTTTGCAGCTGGTAAAGTACTTTGAGTTTTTCTTAAATCTGGATTTTCTTCAATTTTAAAATGTTCCACAAGATTTCTGTGTATATTAATATCAATGCATCTGTTTTATTTATTTTATAAAGGTGCCATGGAGAACTGGGGCCTTGTTACTTATAGGTAAGCTGTTAAAACACTGTCACTTCTCTGTCTGTTCACTGATTTTCCCAAGCATATCAAGCTGAATAGTAGGGCACTGTAATAACTTGGCATTGTCCTGATTAATGTCTGGTAACTTTCTTCAAATAATCTTCCATTTTGAGTAACATTAGCTTTTCCCAAAAATATGTACATGAATATTGGGGGGAAAGATCTAAAGTCAATTTTCAAGTGCAAAACATGTAACATAGCTGTAATTTTTAAAGGATACTTTGTTTGCATATTCATACAATTCTGTGTGGCAAAATTCAGACATAACACTGCCTTGTTGTGGTGTGTTAGTAATGTTACGTATATGAATGGTGAGCTCTTATGCTCCTATTTTGTCCTACAGCACAATTGTGAGAAAATCTGAAGCTTTCTGTTATATTTATAACTATTGACCATTTTAATTATGTCAGACTGGACATGTTAGTTAATAGTGAGCAAGGTCCTAACATGCTGAATTTATGTGCCTCTCTTGAGATCAGGCTATGTACTGTATTTCAGGCAGAATCAGTAGCAGTAGTCTTGAAAGTCACCAGGACTCTCTAGCATTCTTGATCAGGGAAACAGTGTAGGATACCTATGATGTGTAGTTACTACAAATTTTCAGAATTAGAGATGGGCACGAACCACAGTTCAGCAGTTGTTTCTGTTGGTTAATTTTTTGGCTGAACACGTGTTTGGAGATTCATAGGCCCGCCACTTCTGGTGGGTGCTCAATCAGAGGCAGTGCATTCACTGCCTATAGTTCTCATTGCAAGCCAGCTGCATGAATTTGCATTCAGCAAGGGATATAAGTGACAGCTGGTTAACTAGCAGTAGTTTACCACCATATTTTACACTAGTGCACTAATGCCAGTATAATTTATGCCACGATTCTGGGCACTATTTCTTATGTGCTTTGGTTTCTCTTCAGATTGTATGTACTGTGGGCTGTTTGGAATTTTGGTCCAAATTGACCATCCAGTTATCACTTCATTAAAGAATTATTTTAAAAAATTCAGTTTAAAAAGTTATAGTATTTTTAATTGACTCCCTTAATTTGAACAAGAAAAGAGTTTGAGATGGCACTTGCCACTGGAGTTTCTACAGGATATGGCAATTTGTGTAGTATATTATTGTTCAGACTAAAAAGATATGGATCAGTAAAAGGTAAAGGTAAAGGTTCCCCTTGACATTTTAGTCAGTCGTGTTCAACTCTAGGGGTCGGTGCTCATCCCCGTTTCCAAGCCGTAGAGGCAGCGTTTGTCTGAAGACAGTTTCCGTTGTCACGTGGCCAGCACGGCTATACACGGAACACTGTTGGATCAGTAGCTATAAGCAAATTTTTTCAAATAAGATATTATATAAATTTATATATTATATAATACATAATAATAAGTATAATCTGTAATAGATTTTAATAATAATCTATAGTACATAGATTGAACACAGACTTTGAAGACTGTCAGAAGCAGGGAGGTGAGGGAGTTGTTTACTGTCCCCAAGCAGACCTCATCTTGTGGCATTTTTTTGTATGTCAGTTCCAGCATACAGCAAGAAATTAGTGGAAAATCAAGCTCCCTTCCAGCTGTCTTTATTAACCACAGTAATGAGAATTAGAAATGTCTTTGTCTTTGGAGCTCATCAAATTCCAGTAGTAAGAGGCATATTGTTACGTGACAAGTAATAGCATACTGTGTAGCAAAACATGTTGACACTTCTGTTGATAGGGGCCTTGCTAAATTGTATGTAATCATCACAGAGTTATAGAAGCTGCAAAGACTTGGACGGCTCCTTCCATGCTTTGGCATGCAGTTTGCAAAACTCACCAAATCCAATAATGCATGATATGAATGAGTCTTTTGTAGATTTGTCTTGTGTGTGTCTGTGCATGTGTATGAATTGTGAGATTGACTGAATATTGGTGATGCTGTGATAATTTAAATATTTTGGAGTAAAGGATATCTGAAAGGCCCACAGCAAAATATCTACTAAGTGAAGCAGCTTATTTCCTTTGTTGTATTTTTCCACTCTCATTTGATATAGGTTTTTGAGGGCTGATTGCGGATTCTAGACTCCTTGCATGCTAGGAGAAATGTGCTTCCTTGCTGATGTGATCCACTAATCTTGCTGTCATTCTGTACTGTATTCCAAAATTTTCATAGGATTTGATAAGTTCTTGAGGTAGATTAGTTCTTAAAATCATACTTTTCTCTGATGTCTTGTTGCTTCAACTGTTTTGTTTTCTTTTCTTTTGTTTTTGTTTGTTTTTATCTAGGGAAACAGCACTGCTGATTGATCCCAAAAACTCCTGTTCTTCCTCTCGCCAGTGGGTGGCTCTTGTGGTTGGTCACGAACTTGCTCACCAGTGGTTTGGAAACCTTGTGACTATGGTACCTTAAAAATGTATTTGGCTTCTTTGGACTTAGATCACGATTACTAAAATTGTGGGGTGGGCCCATTCATTCCTTTCCTTCTGAGCACAGGAACTCTTGCTTGTTCTGTGGATGACACAGAGCTGTGAGGAAGAATAACAGTCTTGATGATCTTGAATTTCTAAGTTGGATCAATATGGGCTGAAAACTGCCTCATGAGAAATTGCATATATTTCTCTTTGTCAGTACTAGGTAGACCAAAATAATCACATAAATTGTGCAGTTGAACCACATTTAGGTAAATGTATATGGTTTATTATAATTCTGTTCTTGCTATTTGCGGGAAGAAAGATTTTACAGAGACTGTGATGCTACATCTGGCTTCTGTAGAGATCTCCCATTCATTGCTCATAGATCTGCAATCTTATATTTGCATCTTACTTTAAAAGGAGTAGGAGAAGCTGAGATTCTTAATATGATGAGTAAGTTATATTCTCTGCATCTGAGATGTTACTGTGAAAGCATTGATTAGAATCCTATATATAAAGGCACTCCAGTGGAACAAATATTACTCATTTGTGTAAATTGATTTATCTACCAATAAATTGGCAGAGCACAGGTTTGGTTTTTATACCATACAGCAGTTGTTCCCAACCTTGTTGTTATACCATACAACAGTTGTTACGCAGGTGTTCTTGGATTGTAACTTCCCCCAAATCCCACCCAGCACAGCTAGTAGTGAAGATGTCTGGGAGTTGCAGTTCAGGAACACTTGGGTTACCCAGGAGTGGGAACCACTGCAATACTCTCTCTCTCTGTCTGTGTGTGTGTGTGCGTGCGTGCGTGCGTGTGTTGTTGTTGTTGTTGTTGTTGTTGTTGTTGTTGTCTTGTAGACTAGCCAAGTCTCCTATTCAGAATTGGTACCATCACACTTATTTTGCTGCTGCTAGATTACGGCAGGTTCCACAATCATGAGTTTATCAGCTCATTTTCACTGTAAGAGACAACAGTGAGATGTAGCAAATTAATTATTCTGGGTTTGAATCTTAGAACATAATGATCCTGCATACATTTTCCAAGTAGCTTTGTGACAAGAGTATTGAATTTGAACAATGTGGCTGCAGTGATAATTTTCACATACTTTGTACTGAAAGCATAGCCCTTGCAGTTCAGACCTTATCCTGTCTCTGTCCTGAATAGTATGCAGACCAAGTCTTAATATTTAGCCTCAGTGTCATGCTTTATTAAACAGGTACTGAGAAGCACATTTTTGTGTGTGGACAAACATTTTGCATTGTCCCTCATTGCAATCTTCCTTTTTCATTCTTCATTTCTGTTAGACCAAATTTTAAAATCCCCACCTGATTTATTATTTCGCCTGAAATTCGTATTGATCATATAAACCAGCATGCTGCATTATGTTTGAAGAAAATGCATTCAGGGATTGGTCTCAGAGTATCTGATGGTTTCTTTTGTTATAAAATGCTGTCTGCAATTTCCTTAAAAGCTTATCCACAGATTTTTATAAAAAAGAAAACCAGCACAAGTTTAAGAACTCATGGAGCCACAGTTATGGGGGAAGGGTTATGCCTTACATGATTCTCTGCTTTTCTCCATAACTGACAGAAGCAGAATGAATAATGCACATGTGCTTGTAAATTTGCATGATTTATACACTGCATAATTCATTTTTAGAACATTTTTGTTATCCCAGTACATAATTAGTCCAAGAGCATACACATTCTGAACATTCTTATCATATGCACAGTTTTGGAAGGGGCCAGTATTATCCAGCCTTATAGGAGTATTTGAAATACCCTTATCACAAACCTCAGGGATGTTACTGGTGTGGGGAAGGAGCCAGAGCCATCTGTTTATACATGTAGGCTTTATTTGCATTTTTAAATTGAAAAAGAAAAAGAAAAGTAACAATATGTTACAGATCACATCTTTTGAAGATCTGCAGAGTGGCATAGGTAAAGGGGAGTGATTAATAAAAAAAAAAGAATGGAATGATAGTAATGTAGGAATGCCTGAGTCAAGGGTAACAAATATCTGTGTCCTTGATGCCTGTCTCTGCCAGTACTGTAATAGGAAATTTGAAAATGGGTGTTACAACACAGCTGGGCCAGCTGATCAGGTTCTAAAGATAGGAAGCCGGCAATCTGATCTGGGCCTAGTTCCAAATTATGTGTGCATACCCTTTGGTATGCATCCAGTTTACTTTCTCCCACCTATATCAGGACCCAAGCAAAGAAGTTTCCAACTTTCAGTAGCAACAGGGTCAGGTCTAATTGTTTCATGGGTCAGCTTGCTCTGCAGTCCTGCATTTCACACTCTGCTTGCTTTAAAGTTCTAAAACTACCAAAGGGAAAATATTTTCCTAGATGAGAAATGGGGACATGGAACTGTATAGGTGTTTAGGTTAGAATTATTCTTATTTTTTAGTTGCAATAATCCTGACAGTGTTGCCACTCTTTAGAGGCCCTAAGTTTTGCTTTGAAACCTAATGTTGTCAGATCTGTTTTGGAAATGGCAATCTCTTCTTTTTAGAAATAATGTTGAGCCTCTCCATATAAGCAACTGTTGGTATGAGGCTTTAATAAACTTCTCCAGATTGCTTCTTTAAAAGCTGCTGGGCTGTCAAAACTAGAGAAGGCCTATGTCTGATGACTTGTTATTCTTGTGTTTTAAAATCTAGCATAAGACTGTTTTTGTCAGTAATTTTCTCACCTATTTTTAGGAATGGTGGACCCATCTGTGGCTGAATGAAGGCTTTGCATCCTGGATTGAGTATCTTTGTGTAGACCATTGCTTTCCAGAGTACGATATCTGGACGCAGTTTGTTTCTGCTGATTATACACGAGCTCAGGAGCTAGATGCCTTAGACAACAGTCATCCTATTGAAGTGAGTGCCAACTGCTGTAATTAATGGCATTTTAAGTGCTCTCCTTGCCAGTTCTCACATATTTACGCATCATTAGAAATGTTCTTCTAATGGGTTAGGCATGGAGAGCATCCAAGAGTAACGTAGTATTCTAACAGATTAGTACTGCTTTAACTGGAGTTCCAACCCAACTGCAGGTTATTCTAGTGATTTCTTTTCTTTTCTCAGGTCAGTGTGGGCCATCCTTCTGAAGTAGATGAAATATTTGATGCAATTTCTTATAGCAAGGGTGCATCAGTAATCCGAATGCTACATGACTATATTGGAGATGAGGTAATGATCTGGGATTTCTCTGCAATTGATTTCTAGCATAAAAATACATGTTTTGTAGGGAAGTAGATTAGGGTGGTGGTTATGACAGGGAGCTGAGTGGATTAGGCAGATGTCTATTTTTGCAAAATGCTATATTTCCAACAGTAACATAGCCTGATACCCCCTGGAGTTCATAAGCAAAAGATTAAGGTAATGGCCGTCCCCTTATCTTGTCTTGACAGTTGATGCCTAATATGGTGCTGGGAATCATACTCCTCAGTACTACTTTTTTGCAGCCCCAGATCTCTCCTGGGACAACCTCCATCCCTTGCAAAACCAGGAAGGAAAATTTGGTGAAAAAAGGAGAATTGCCTCTTTTGGAAGTTTCCAGGAGTGGCAATTCCTCCTGGCTGGAAAGCTCACTGAGTTGGAGTACCTGGCTGCAGAACCAGGAATCAGGAATTTGATTCTCCACTGCTCCTTCTGGGAGAAAAACCAGGCTGTGTGGCCTTGGGAAAGCTACACTGTCCCAGAGAACTCTCATAAGGAATTGGTAAATCAGTAGTTTATACCTAAACGATCCTGTAAGGGTGCTGTAAGTTGATTTTATAGGATGCCATGTTTGCCCCTCTGCAACCTTTCAAGTCAAAAAATACTTTTTTATAAAACATGAAATTAAATTCCAGATCATTTTCCCATAGGGAGCTTAGTGCAGCCCTGGGGGTGGCAAATAGCCCCTTGACCTTGCCCGCCCCTGCCCTATGAGTTTCTATATTTGAGGGTCTTTAGCCTGTGCATATTCACGAGAATTAACAAAACATACTATTTTACAAGATAGCATTTTATTTGCATCTAACATTCTGTCACTTGGAAGACTTTTGATACACACCGTTCCTTCACTTGTATAGAACATATATATGGGGTACTGCAGCAGGTCATGGGCTCCTATCTTCCACCCCTCTTTTCAGAATAGAATAACATCTATGAATGGGCTCTGTGCATACATGCTACCTGCTATCCCTTTTTAGTAACACATAGGCGGTTCAGATCTGTATTCAAATGCAAAACAAATCTTTCATATTACTAGTCTCACTTGGTTGCATCCAACAATCTTCTTTCTCTAGTGAACCAGACATTGCTGTTGGATTGAATTTCTTCCCCGTGCACCTCCATATCTGCTGGGGCATCCTCTGGAGCTAATCTGAGAGCAGGCAGGGATGCAGGGAAAAGGAGGAAATGCATGTTTCCATTGCATGAGTAAACGTTAGCTCTTGTGCAATTATATGTGACTATTTAAAATTAACCTTTTTAAAAATATGTTCATTGATATTGTATTATTGAATGAAATGTTCTGAACAATTCTTTACACTTTAAAAATACTAAGATAAATGTCAGTGTTTCCAGATGCTTTCTTGGGCTTCTCAGATGGCTGGATAGCTCAGTGGTTTTGTACAGTGGACCCTCGACTTACAGACGGCTTGACTTACAGACTTTTCGAGTTACAGACTTCTCTGGCTGCAAAATTTAGATTCGACTTGCAGCCAGAGAATCGACTTACAGACCAGAAAAAAACCAAAATGGAATAAAAATAGAATAAAAACCACTCGTTATGGGATTAATCGGTTTTCAGTGCATTGTAGGTCAATGGAGATTCGACTTACAGACTTTTCGACTTGCAGCCACCATTCCAATACGGATTAATTCCTTAAGTAGAGGGTCCACTGGCTGCGTAAACAGAGATTGGGAGTTTGATTCCCCGCTATACCTCCAGGGAGAAGAGCCAGCCTGTGTGGCCTTGGACAAACTGGACAGTCTTAGGGTGCTCTCAGAAGAAAGGAATAGTAAACAACTCCTGAGTACTATCTACCTAGAAAACCCTGAAAAAAGTTGTCATAAGTCAGAATTGACTTACTGGGACATTATTATTATTATTATTGGGCTTTTCAGTTTCAAAGTTGTTTGGCACATATCTAGATTGTGGAAAGTGATGCATATGGTATGTTTAACTTTGTTTTATAGAAAACCTTGTAAGTGCTTGAAAATTATTCTTTTGTGGAAAAGAATACAATATTCTCCTGTTCAATGCATTGTTAAGCTAATTCTTGAAAAATTTGTTTTCTTACATCCATAGGATTTCCGAAAAGGAATGCACCTATATCTTACCAAGTTCCAACACAATAATGCAGCTACAGGTAGTCAGCTATTTTGTTTGCTCTTTCTGGTCTCTGTTGTCTCTTTGGCTCCTGAATATCCCACTAGAGAGAGAGGCTGAATCCTCCAGCAATAAATTTCTCTTCCGGAATAGACAGGGAGGTTCACAAACAAAGTGGCTCCTACTAAATTATAGTTTAGTGAAATGTTGGATTCCTCTCACAGTCTTTATCTGATCTACTTAAAAATCTGAGCCAAACATAACTTTAGGTGGAGTATGTGACTTGTGACACTCCAACAGATATTGTTGAATTTCTCTGATGATGCTGATTAGAATTTGAAGGTGACAAGTTAACTATGTCTGCTTCAACCAAAACCCAGATCAGATTCTAAAACTTGGAAACTTGAGAATAGTAACTTCTAAGTCCCTTTCTCCAAAGTAAGATGATCTTGTATTAATCTCTGATACCTACCTTTTAATAAAAGAGGCTACTCATGCAATGAAATGTTGGACAATTAGCAACATATTATGTGGTCAGAGAAAGTCTATATTTAGTTTGGTTGCCTTTAATATTTTATGTAACACCAGGATTGTGCTAGGTACTGTGAAGAACACACATCTGAAATTATACCTCTCTGTCTTTAAAGAAAAGCAACCTGAGTACTTAAAACTTCATGTGTCTAGACATTTGGTGATAAAGACATTTAGTAGTGCTTCTGGACATAAATTTACAAACCATGTAATGTACTGATGTGTTTGTTGCTTATTTTACGCACAGGCAGAGGGCAACACTCTAGCCCATCCCAAGGCTCGTCCCTCTGTTTTTGGTCAAAGAAAAGAAAATTTCTATCTCTGGAACCCTCTGGGAGTGGCAGTTCTTTGCTAAGCCTTGTTTTATTGAAAAATAGTGTTCTAAAGAAGTGGTTACCAACTTATGTTTCACTTGCATACCCCCTGGCTTCCTATTTCCATAAATTGTACCCACACCATCATGCACCAGAGTAACAAAGCAACAGAGATGTAACAATTTTTTATATTAGCCCACTCAACTTTCTTCTCCAATCCCCACTTTCCTTTGTCAGAGTAACTGTCATAGCACAACTTGCAGAAGCCTCACCTTCCCCCACCAGCCCTTCTTCTTTTCCATGCCAACCTCACCCCATTCCCCATCTTGTGTGGGAAGCCCAGTCTCAGCAATCAGAAGACTCCCAAATGCAGAGCCAAGTGGCTCACAGGAGGGTTTCAACTAGAGATGTAAAATTTCAAAATAAATTCCATTTTGGGAAAAAAAATTACAGATTTTTTTTTTTCAAAGAAAAGAGAGAAATTTTCAGAAATTGTACGTCTTTAGTTTCAGCCCCTTACAGTAGCATTCTCTCAGCTTGACTGCAGGAACTGAAGGTGGGGCAGATTGTGTGGTGTGGCCTACTTTACTTCCCCAGGGACCAATGAAGCTCTTGACACTGCAGCAACCACCTGCTGACGTCATGTCCCTCTGCCTCCCATCCTGAAGTGCCTCCAAACCCACCCATTGCTCCACTTTCTGTAGCTCCTTCAAAAATCTCAGTGCAAGACTTAGCAGCTTCCTCCTAAGCTAAAGGCAGTCCTGACACACAACCACAGAATGGAAAGGCATCCCAGCTGGTCCCGTCTCACAGTGTTGACCGAACCCATTTCTCACCTACAAAACAGGAGCCAATCAGTGAAGAAAATAAGATTGAGAGGAAATAGAATGGTCTCAACCATTGAGGGCTGTGAAGAGTTGTGGATACTTGTCAGCTTTCACCCACATTTCATCTGAATGCCAGTCTATAACATATATCTCTATTTTGCCTCTCTCCACTTCCCTATGCCTTTTCCCACCATTATTCAATTTTTTTCCTGTGTACTCCTGGGGATCACATACCCCAGATTGGAAATCACTGTTCTAAAGCATGTCTTTTACAGATTTTTAGTTCACTTTTTAAAACACTGTTTTTATAGAGGATGAGTGGTTCACTGTGGATCCTTGTGGGTGGATGGTAAAAAGTGGCTTTGGAACCAACGAAGTTTCAAACCTGTGCACTGAAGAATTTTCCAGATATTTTTGAAATTGCAAGGCAGCCAGCCACATGTACTTACACACAAATACCCCACACATTCAGATGCACACAACTGCTCTTTGGTTGTGGACGAAAGATATGTTTTTGACATGCTGAATGGCTTGCATGCCTAGTGGGATTTGACTTTCAGTAGTAGAGTCATATCACAAACTCTTTTCGCCGTTTTTGCCAGTATCAGAATTGTAATGATCTTTTTAACAAAGATGAATCCAAGACTCCCTTGTCTTTTGGGAGCAGACACTGGAAGTAGTGGGAGAGTTAAAGGATTAGTTATTTATAAAACAAGGGTACAGTATGCAATCTGTCTAAAGCACCTGCAAATGTCATGATATTATATGGAGGATTCCTGTTAGAGTCATCAGAAGATAAGCTGTATCCTCACTGTAATCAGTGGGGAGCCCAGATGAATGACAAAATAAATTAAAGAGAAATAAAATGAATGGGGCAGTAACGAATAGAAAGCAAATTGAATGGGGCTGCCAGGAAGAGAATGATTTCCACACACCCGCAGAGAAGTACATCCCTAAAAAGTATAGTCCGGCATTAATTTTGGATGCAGCCATGACTTCAAGCAGTGTTTATAAAAGTAACTGAGTTGTTGTGTCCAGATGTTTCACTCATTGAGTATTCTTATTGTCTGAAGGAAATTCATTAAGATACAAACTGCTTTAAGATTACAGAAGCTCAGTTTGGGAGCTTTCTGAACTTGTTGTGGCTATATGTAGTCTAATGGAAAGGCTGGTGGATGACAAAGGCACATTACAGATTAATCCACATATAGGTTTTGATTGCTTCAGTTCCCCGTCTGCTAAACGGGAATAATGACCATTTTCCTTACTTAATATGTTAGTACGTGTCGATAAAATGTGTATGAAATACTTTGCAAGTAAAACTTCTTTTCAAGAGTTTGTGAACACTCCTATAATTGTAGCAGGTTGTGTGTGTGTGGTTTTTTTTAATCATGAAATGTTAGAGGTGCCAATTAACAGAATATTTTATCTTCTCTAGAGGACCTTTGGGAAAGCCTGGAATATGCTAGTGGCAAACCTATTGCTGCTGTGATGAATACTTGGACCAAGCAAATGGGGTTTCCACTTGTTTATGTGGAAGCAGAGCAGGTAAGTATTGCATTTGTGACTTTGACTGGGGTTCAGTTCAGATGACATGAGAAACGCAGCTTGAGCTTCCGAAGATACAAGCAAGTTATAGTTTAGAACTTTTTTCTTTATTTCAATTTTTTTTCCACATTCATTTTTTAAAATTGAAAGTGATGACTACAACCTGTGGCGTATCTGTTGAGATACTATTATGTAACATCATGTTTGACACTTGTAGTTGGAACAAATCATGTTACACAAATACACTTCAAGCCATCGTTTTTTGTTTTTGTTTTCTTCCTGATCACAAAACATGATTTGTGGTGCAGAGATTGTACCAAACATGGTTAGGTTTCTTTCAAATGGTTGAACACGACGCCTGAATTGTTGCTGTAATTACAACAAAAAACAATCTGTCAAAATCTACATTTATTTAAAAAGTAAAGAGTAAAATATTCAGCAGCTTTGAATTTGCATAATAGATGTACAGATGTGTTTTACTGAGGGGCTGCAGTTCATAAAAGCTTGTATAAAATAAAACGCATTCATCTTTAAGACTCTCCACTGTTCTTGCTGTGACAGACTGACATGTCTATCCCCCTGGAAAATTTAATGTACGTGTTCTCATTGCAGGGTCAGAAGCTTCATAGCATTTGTGATATTTTAGATATGGCAAAGACAAAATGTGGGAAAATGTATTTCTAATCAGCATAAGTTGTACAACCAGGATAAGACTATACAAATGAACCAAAACAAATTAGTGAATCTTTTGTTACAGACAAAACAAATTAGCGAATGGAATAGTTTCTAGAGAGGTGGCGGTAAGAGACTGATAGGATTATGTGGGCCCTGGATATAAAATGGTCAACATCCTGTGGTGTACAGATTGTTCAGATCAAGCAAATTCATTGCACTTTTGTGTAGTTCAACTTCTGAAAGAACTTAGTGACAGGTGTATGGGACACTATATTCCATCCCTCACTACTGAGACAATTATTCATGCATCTCACCTTCCTCTTTTCTCACCTAAGCATTTCCCACACACGCTCATGCTTTTCTTCATAGTCAGAAAATCTTACGTACTTCGCTACTTTTAGTTGCTTAAAAGAAAGAAGATGGAGATTCTCAAAACCTAATGCTGTATCAGTTTGGTGTGTCTTTACTAGTCTCTTTTTCATGGATAATATATAGCCTCAGCCTCCTAAGAGTCCCTGGCTAATAATATAAAATTTATTTCAAACAAAGACAAAAACAAATATATTTTGGCATCTTTAAAACTAACAAATTTATTTAATTGTAAACTTTTCTGGATTATAATCCACTTCTTCCAAGGTTTTTAATTATTTTATTTTATTTTTTTCTACTAGAAATCAGTTTTGCTTTTAAGTGTGTAGAATGCCTAGATGTAAAATAAAAACAATGAAAACAATCTGCAATTTTAAAAAATTTCTGCTTATATACTGCCAGAACACATTTTCAGTAGCTTGATGGAATATCATTAATGAGAGAGCCAGGCAATATCTAAAATTACAGTTGCTTAATATAGACTGATCATTAAGATATGTAGAGTCTGTCCCCCTTCAAGTTTTAGTCATGCCCCCTTCCCATTGGTCTAATGGAGAGAAGAAAAATGTAATACGTAATAGTTGTTTGCAGGCATGTGAGAAAAGGAGGTGAAGAATGGAACCTATTTTGTAGTCAAATCAACCAAAGCCAAAGCAGTACCCAAAACTGTTGCTAGGGATTAAGTGATGTTAGAGAATTTACCATGACTTGCAACTGTAGAGAACTGGACTGAGAGATGGGGACAGCAAAATAGGATGTGGCCAGAAGAATAAAAATCTTTTCCCACCCTCAAATCCTACGTGCTGTAGTCTGGCAGATAACTCAGTGAGACTCCCAGAATAAGATAATTCTGAGTATTTTATACAGTGGTGCCTCGACTTACGACCTTAATCCAATCCGGGATGATGGTTGTAAGTCGAAGCACCATTTCCCATAGGAATGTACTGGAATGTGATTATTACATTCTGACCAAAAAAATTTGCCAAAACAAACACAAAAAAAAAACGCTGCAAGCCCCATCGGAACGTGATGGGGGGAAACCCCCCCCCCAAAAAAACAAAAACACTGCGAGCCCTGTCGGAACGCACTGGGGCTGAAAAACAAACACACCAAAAAACAAAACAAAAATGCAAGCCCCATGGGACGTGCTGGGGCTGAAAAAAAATCACAAAAAGCAACAACAACACAGCAAGCCCCATCGGAAAAAAACACCAAACACACCAAAAAAAAAATTACAGCACAGAAACATAACCCCTCCTCCAGCTCAAACCCACCCTGCAAAACCCTGCAAATGTACTTACTCAGAAGCAGAAAGCAGTACCAGGCAGTCCGAAGCCTCCTCTGACGCACACACTCTAACCGTTGGGGCGAAAGAGTTACAAAGAAGCAGCTTCTTTGCCGACCAACGGTTAGTACATTTGAACTCTCCACCTTTTTCCCCACCTTTTTTTCTGTCGTAATTCGAAGCTCTGGTCAGAAGTAGAAGCAAAATTGTATGGCCGGAGCTGGTCATAACTGAAAATGGTCGTAAGTTGGGACATTTGTACGTTGAGGATCCACTGTACCTAGAAAATCCTGGAATGGGTTGTCATAAGACTCAACTTGACACCACGTGGCAATAATAGCTTTCTTTCTTTCATAGCTTTTTAAAAAATCTTGTTCTTCAGAACTAGGACCTAGACAACCACCCATCATTTTATTTAACTGAAAATTATACACCATTTTCTTAAGTGCTAAATTCTCCTCCATATTTTCTAAATGCAACTCTTTAGGTTTACTGCTATGGCCAGTATCCTCTAACCTAGCTACCATAGCAGGAATGATGTCACCAACAGAAGCAAATTGCTAATAGTTAAAGAATTCTTGCTTCAGTTTCTGATTGAAAGAGAGACAGAGTTCTGCTGCAACCTGAAATCAAAGCAGAAACGCTTTAATTAGTGGCAGTTTGCCATGGCTGGTGACCAACTCCTCTTTTTCTTACAGAGCTGTGGAACAGGATACTGGTAAACATAAGCTGAAATCCTATTTATGTAAGTTCTGTGGTTTAAGACTGATGGCATCATCTGCCAGGGCAGTGTTTTGGAAATAAAACATTTGCCCGTTCTGTCCTGAGGTCTCTGTAGGTCCTGAGTAATCCCTTTTAGCACAGTCACTCGTACAATAATAAAAGACTTTCCCTACCGTCCGGCAGACCCCAAGGGTTCCCAATTATGAAAGGGAATATTTGGTACCTGTAAGGGCCTTGGGACTGGAGGGAGAAATGTTTATTTTCCAAAAAATTGTCCTGGCTCATGATGTCATCAGCCTTATACCATGGAACTTAAAAAGGATTTTGACACAGTATTCTAATGAATGATTATATTATCTGGCCAGTTTAATCCCTGTGCTCGCAAGGGTAAGAAGAGAGCAGAAATAGGTATCTCATAAGAGGCTTGCTAGTGATCTTGTGGCTGAGTGGAGGTATGTACCAAGAATTCCTTGGTCATAGCTCATGTTTTAAAGATTGTGTTGCACCAATGCTTTGCCATAACTCTGGATAGTCACGGAACAAAAGAAGGCTAATTGCCTTAGAGAGAGAACAAAGGAGTCGACAGCGGATGTCCAAGCCAACGGAGCCTACTGACAACACCCCGAGAGCTCTTTTATTTACTTAGCATGATTACATAGTGCATTATGAGAAAGACAGATAGGATACTAGTACCTAGGACTGGCTAAAATAACCTTTTGATTTTATGCTGTAGCTCTAAGCGAAAGGGCAGAATAAGGTTACACCGCCTGCTGGCAGCTGCCGCTTCCTGCCAGGAGTGTATGCACATCACTAGAATAAAATGCCGCTACAGCCTTTAAGCAGAAGTTTCCCACATTTCCCCTTTTTATTTTGTGTGTTAAGCAAAGGGACATATTCATTCATATACAGTGATGCCTCGACTTACGACCATAATCTGTTCCAGAAGATGGACTTAAGTCGAAATGGTTGTAAGTTGAAGCACCATTTCCTGTTAAAATGCAATGAATCCATTTCGGCCGAAGAAAACAACAAAACAATGCAAGATACATCAGAAATGCATTTAATCCCTTCTGGCCGGGGGGGGGGGAGGAAAAGCGGGCAAGAAAAACCCATTGGAAATGCAAAGAAAACAAACCCAAAACAAAAATCCCCAAAACCCACCAGAAATTAGGGGGGGGGGGGGAAAGCAAAGAAAACAAAGGAAAAAGCAAACGGAGCACATCGGAAATGCAAAGAAAACAAATGGAACACATTGGAAAAACAAAGAAAGCAAAGGGAGCACATCAGAAATGCAAAGAAAACAAATGGAGCACATTAGAAATGCAAAGAAAACAAAGCAAAAAGCAAGGGAAGCATGCAAGACCTATTGGAAATGGGGGGGGAAACCCCTAAAAAGCAACCAGACCCCCCAAGACCCATCAGAAATGGGGGGGACCAAAAAACAACCCCCTAGACCCATCACAGCACAGAAACATAACCCCCAGCCCAAAACCATGCTGCAAAACCACCAAGAACAGTTTTTAAAAAGCAGAAAGCAGCACCTTACCTTACTAGGCAGCTTCCTCTGATTGTACACACTCTAACTGCTGGGGCGAAAGAGCTATAAAGAAGCAGCCTCTTCACCACCAACAATTAGCAATTTGAATTTCCTACCTTTTTTCTCTTCCTTTTTGTGTTTGTAACTGGAAGCTCCAGCCGCAAGACGAAACAAAATTTTGCAGCTGGAGCTGTGGTCGTAACTCGAAATGGTTGTATGTTGGGACATTCATAAGTCAAGGCACCAGTGTATTTACGAACTACATATAAATCTTTTCGACGAAGGCTTGAGGGCGAAGCTTTGAGACAGGTAGTTATAATGGAAAAGAAGACTGGTATACATTGAATAAAGCAACAGGAACTTATAAGGAGAATGAGAACCATAATTCCAAGAATGAGAACACAACACAAC